ACAATTTAATGAGTCTGAGGTTAATAGACTACGCAGGTCTCCCTCACTGCACATGCGACCTGTTCTACTGACATCCGCAGGCAGAACTGTAGTTTGTGATTTATCTTCGGGTACGCCGCTCCCAGTCGTCCCACATGAGTTTCAGCAGACCGTGTTCGACACTTTGTACTGATTGTCTCAGCTAGACGTTCGTGCATCGGCTAAACTCGTAACCACACGGTTCGTCTGGTACAATGTCCATCGTGACGTTCGTACTTGGGCAACTGCTTGCTTCCCCTGTCAACGCGCGAAAGTGCATAAGCATCCGAAAAGCCCAGTAGAAACATTATCCACGCCACGAACACGTCAAACTCGTAGGTCCTCTGCCGCCTACGAGAGCCTGTGGATATCCACTGACCTCTGTAGCTCGATGCACTAGGTGGTCGGAAGCTATTCTCATACCTAACCGCTCTTCGGAAACGGTAGCGAAGGCGTTTCTGGAGCGCTGGGTAGCAAAGAACCGTTGTCCCGCCATCGTGCCCATCGATCAATGGTCACATTTCTCGTCGATGTTTTCTATTTTTTTAAAGTTATCTAAGTGCACTAACCTTTTTTGCGTGCAGATGGTCTGTTTATTTTTTGTGTCCTGCGGGTTGTTCAACTTTCCCTGCTCTTCACATTACAGCCCTCCGTTTTGATCGGCGAATTCATGCGAGCGGGATTTTACGGAAGGATATCCATCCGTTACTGGGGACTCAGCGGGCGTACCACGTTTTGCCACTGTTTTCCTTTTCTTGTCCTTTGTATTGCGGCACAATTGCTTAGGTGTTTTACACCTCCAGCTAACATGTAATGATGATGATGAAGATGGGCGCAGTCAACATTATCCTGAAGTAAACGCCTGTAGTTTGCGCTGCGGAACTAGGGTTGCTTCTTCGTGATACGACGGTCGTTTTTGTGAGAAGATGGTCTTTACTCGGTTTGACAATGGTCGGTTTTGCCCAGAGCTGGTGCAGCGAAACAGAGACTACTCCCAAACGCACCCTTTGGCAGCAGGGGATGTTGAGATCCTGCCGGATATCTTATGGGCCAGCTTTTGTAGTCCGACAAGCCAGCTGCAACAGTCGCCGAAAGGCACCCTGCCATGCAATCAAAAATGATTAATGACAAGCGGAATAGCGGATTGACTTTCAGTGAACCTCCATTTGACCCGAACACTCACTCAATCAGCAAGATTTTGCCCAATCGTCTTCGATTCACTCATCAGTTTCGACTTTGAATGCTTCGTTGGTTTCGCCTTCTAGTGGGGAACTCTCCAACGTCCCAAAATATAACTAATCTTGTGTACCATTTCGCTGATGCCCAATTGTACACTATTCTTTCTTGTTTTAATCTCACTGGCATTACGTCCATTTTGATCTATATCTGGCTCGATACTTGCTTGTCTTGTGGGTTCCCGCGCTAACGTGTTCCTTCTGTTTCTTTCCATGTACCTACTTCTTCTTGTAACACAGCGAGTACATTTCGTTGTGTTCGACTCCAACTGCCTTCTGATACATGCGCTTAATTTGCTGCACTGTCTCGGACTAGTATCTATCAGTCCTACCAGTTGGCCTTTAAACCACCAGTGCTCTAATGTAAATGGCGGTTTAATTATTTTGGGAAGTTTACAAGGCCTTTAACTGGAGTGCTGTAGACGTACATGGAGAATAAACGACCATGAAATAAAAGCCTTATCTGAAACTGATCCGCATATCATTGTTATACATGTTGTGCTTGACTACACCGTATTGTATTTAGCGGTTTTTTAAAGTCCAGGTAAGAGTGGCTTGCCGAACCACATCCTCGTGGTGCCAACTGGGTGGCTCGGGATTTTCCCGTTCCAGCAAATGGTTCGGCGGCGGTGTTTCATGACGTGGTGGGTTTACGAGTAGAAAGCGTTCTCCCTATAAAAAGTCACATTTGTCCGTTTAACAACACTGTGACGTGGAGGACGTGACTCGCCACTAAATAAAATCACTGCGCCTTGCTTCCTCCTGGTGAAGCATTGTACCCCAGCAAATTTGTGCTGAAATTCTAGGGTGCATTGGGCTCCTGTTTGACAAAGGAACAAACGAAAGGCGTATGAACTGATCAATCAGTCACCGGCTCCCAATGAGTGTGAACCCTGAATTCGCTCCGGTGCCTTGCGGGCATGCTATTCAGGCAGAGGCTCGGGGAGGTGTCCCCTAAGTCAACACCCTACTTCGGCTTGGGCAACGGGGCAGTATTTTGCCCTCTGACCAAACCATGGACTTCGATGTTTTGTGTTGTGTTCTCTTTTACTATTTCTTTACCTCATGGTTTCTGATGGCTTTATGTCTATTCGTAGACCCTTGCAAATATATATATATATATATAGTTCAAACAATTTCGATAGATAAGCCACACAAATTGAATAAATAAAGGAAACCGTCGTTTTAAATGGTTGTCTGCACATCGTGCAATAAAAATTCAGTATCTCGACTGAATTTTAATAGTAAAAGAAAAATGGATGCGCTACTAAACTGACGGCCGATTGTCTGCTAGTCGTACTGCGATCAAGCTCTATGGTAATTCTTGAAGGCAATATCGCACCATATAAATTTAGGGTGTGTTTAGAGGTCTGCGGTTAGTCTACTAAATCATAACATTTTGAATGTGAACGAAACCTTGATAACGGTGAATTATTTTCAGAAAATTGCCGATAGACTTCAAACATAATCAAATGCGCATGTACTGAATTGATAATAAGAAAGAAGCTAAGTTATTTTCACGGTATCACGTGGCCGCACGTCACACAAACTACCCTGCGGAAGCTGCGCGAGGTGAGCGAATAAACGATTCGTAAAAGAAAGTATCTGCTAAGCTCTATTTTACCTACTACCATGTATTTCAAGCACCTGGACGAATTTCTTTGGGAGCCATGTTTTAAATCCCTAAGAGTTGCTGAAAACGCATTCGATACTCGAAACACAGAATTTTGTTCTCCGAGAAAAGCAAACATATTTAACGTTGTTAATATAAATGCTTTTTTCAAGTAACATATACCGTATAAGCCAAAATATATGTATAAAACTTTTAGGAATAAAATCGCAATCTCAGTCTAAACAACTACTATTCAGTGCATTTTAATTGTGTAACCAAAAGATAAACACTTGTGTAGCCGTTGAAGCGCATGCAGTGGTCTGTTTTACTCACCTGCCCGTCCAGATAGAGCATATATTCGTCAAACTATGGGCTAGCCGGAAAAAGCGTTTTAGTGCAGCCGTAAAATATACTGCGCATACAATTTCCTGGAAGCATTTACCGTCGACACTGAATGAATATCAAGTACCAAAACATGACTAGGTAGTACTTAAGAAGTAAGTCTGTACCAAAGTATTTTAAATGCCGGCAACCCATTCTAAGTCTGTCTCATTAAGACGGCCAATGGAATTAAAATCGGTCAATCAGTGTTAAACAAGAGTTACTTACTTGAAATGAAGTACGACTTATTAAAAGGTAAACACTTACAATTATATATATAGTTACTGACGGTTGTTGTCAATGTTGCGTCATACTGTTTGACAAAATACATGGACGTAAAACTCCAATTCGTTATAACTGTTATCGGATAGCGACCGTTCTCCGTTCTCCGTTCTCGGACCGGAATTGTTCAAGATATATATCAATGATCTACCAAGTATGCTACAAACGGACTGTCTGATCTATGCAGACGATCTCAAGCTATGGTCGGAAGTGTCCAGCCTCGAAGACGCCGACCAATTACAGGAAACGCTTGATCTACTACACTCTTGGTCTATCAAGTGGGGTTTGCCGGTCAACAAAGATAAATGCTCAGTCCTTTCTATAGGTGCTGCTGAACCACTGGGCATCTATCACATTGGCGGGCACCTACTCAAGATTGCCACACAGGAAAAGGACCTGGGGACAATAATCTCCTCTGATCTCAAAACGACCCTTGACACGTTAAAGAAAACTGCTGTGGCGAACAGGATGTGGGGCGCCATAAGGAGATCATTCTCTAAAATGACGCCGCAGATATTTAGACTTCTCTTCACCTCCCATATCCGTCCCATTCTTGAATTCGGACATCCGGCCATAGCCCCTTTATCTAAACATGAAAGTGACAAGATAGAAAAAATTCAACGACGAGCCTCGAAACTTGTCCTTGGGCTACGCAACCTCCCGTACCCCACCCGACTACAGAGGATGAACCTTTTTCCCTTAGACTATCGCCGACGTCGCGGAGACCTCATCTATACCAGGCGCATCCTACGAGGAGAACTGGGAAACGAGCTAAGGCAGTTCTTTCAGCTAAGACTTGGCAGCTCGACTCGAGGTCACAGCTGGAAGCTTTTTAAACCGAGGAGGCTCAAAGTCCGCTCAGATGTTGCTCTCTCTACTCGAGTGATTAATGATTGGAACCGACTGCCGGACCCGATTGTCAACGCGCAATCAGAAGCGAGTTTCAAACGTTTGCTAGACATCTTCCTACTGAGTACTCCAGGATCCTGCAGGGCTGATATTACATCCTGAGCCATGACAGCCAATTCGCCTGCAATCCTTGGAAGATCGGGAAGCGAAGGAGCTGACACGGGACCCCCCTTCTGCTCTCTACCACTCAATGAATACCAATGAATGAATGACCGAGACACGCATAAATGGAATGCCTGTTAATCCATTGGCAAAAACTTGGTTCCCAGAAAGAATCGATGCACATTTTGTGTGCTGCAACTGCAGCGATCCCTCTTGCAACGCTGGGCCTCAACCACTCTCTGCATCTCAAGGTCGCAGTGGATAAAATACATCCTTTCATTTTTCAAGTCAAGTAGAATCATTGAAGTAAGCAGTTTTATCGAGCTTAATACAATAGTACTACAAGCATACGAAGTGGCTGTTAGCTTAGTATAGAAACATACTAATTATTAAAACAAATCTACTATCATTAGTTGAAGGCATAAAATTAATAGTATTTACGATAATCGGAATTAACTTGCCGATTTTGTAGTAACTAGCAAGTGATGAAAATCTTTGTGAGGAGCAGGCGCGGTGCATGCGATTTCACATATGACATCGTTTTTGAAGATCTCATAAAATCTAAAAATTGCGTTTTCAAATGGGTTTGTCGATAAGCGGACCATGTTCAAAAGATAGTCAAAAGTATCGCTATGTTATTTAAATGCGTCAACGATTCAAACAAAGTTTTGTCACAACATTTTATTAATAATAGATTAGTCATGATTATTCGTATATATATATATAATACTTGTAGAGCTATTCTAATAAATGCGGCACAGTTATTGCACAGGCTAATGAAGTTCAGTCCCAAACAAGGACGAGTTTGTGCATAAGGGACCCCTCAAAATTTCAGCAATTACAACTGTTGGCTGGCGCCTGGGATAATAGGAATCAATGGCACGTAAAAGCCGTGAAAACTCCGGGATCCTATAGAAGTTGGAGGCGACTGAGGGCAACGTATATTGTGCAGGCTATAAGAATAGGAAACGAATCAGACAGAGCGAGAAACGTGCAGCGAGGTACTCACCAAAACGGTTTGTGTCAACGGATGTGCAGTCAGTAAAACAAGTGGATGTTTCAAAGGTTAAAACGACCGTAAAATCCAGTGTTACAAAATACTGAAACAGCTTGTTTTCCGGTACACTGCAGGTTACACTGTTCGCTGAGCACGCAAGTTTTGCTGTTGCCGTTGAATTAGCATCGTGGGTGAATTTATAGGTAGTAAACCCTAGTCCGGAACGATGCGCGTAATCAAGCACGAATACCTGAGGGCAATTGGAATCGGAAACAGCGCATTGTATTCGAGGAATGCTACAAACGGACGAAAACGAATGAGGCGAATAGATCAATCCTTATTATCATAACTCACTGAAGACAAGTGCTGAGCCAAACGTAGAGGAAATTGGCCGTTGTTTCGGCGTTAACACAAAAACCAATAATGTACAACTGCGGAGCATTTTTGCATGTCACAAGTTAATAAATATCATTTGGGCTGCCACAGAGCTCTACCTTCCTAGAACTCGAAACCAGTTAGTCTACGAGATAACACTTGATTTGTATCGTAATTCGCAAGAAGTATTCATAAAAAGTTAATAGCTGTTCGTGTTCCGAAATGGATGTAGCCGACAATTAGGGTCCTCTGTGCCGCTTTTTGTTTCTTATTAATTGATTGCGAGCTAGGTTGCTTTTCGTTGTCCCATTGAATTGAACTTGCCGGACCCTAAACTAACTATATAGCACAGAACTGGCCGACATGACATCAACCTACATTGCCGCTAAACGGTGCGCTTAGGATTGGCCTCTGCCACCGCCACACTCTGCCTATACACAGAAGGGTACTTGTCCCATGAATAACCGACCGCCGTCCCAAGATAAAACATATAGTAGATCGAAAAATACTTTACTAAAGCACATCCCAATGCACCACTTCCAATAGAAGAAGAAAGAAACACTCAAACGAACATGCTTGTCGCAAAACAAAAAAGAAAAGGTGGACTAATACAGCTAAATATGTGCAGAAAAACATAATGGACTGGTGAAACAACCAATTTTCAAAGCTTCAACCTGCAAAGCCGAATTCAGCTCCTGGTAGTGAAAATTACCAGTAAGACCAATCACGGATACCGAGTATACACAAGTGAAAATCGTCGAACCCAACATGTATTGTAGGAGCTACAAATAACTACAGGTCAAATAACGAAACACGAAGCGAGGAACCGCAGAACTCTCAGGAAGCGAAAGTGAACCAGACGTGTCGTCAGCGAAATAACTGGACGAGCGGAAGATACAAAGAGGAATAAAATCCAATATCACAAAATATTGAAAGCTTAAACATTTTACGTTTATTACACGGGGCTCTCCCTAGAAGGCTGATGGAGGGAAATCTTCGATACATGTCAGGTGGGGGGACGATGTGAAGAATGGAAGTCAAGTACGGATAGAAGGCGCATGCATGTACAAATAGAGCTCGTGGAGTTCGCTAGATGTGGTGGGCTTTCCTACTTATTATTTGGGTGTGGACCGGAGTGCATCCTCAGTTGGCATTCGGGGCGGACTGGTCGGACTGCCGAAAAACGGGCTAGGCCAGTAAAAGAGCCGACAGGACATTTTCTCCTCGGCTGCCGACAGTGCGCTTGGGAGGTGTCACACCCCTCACCGCACTCAGAGTTCACGGCGTAATGATCCTCATCCCATGAACAATCCCGGAAGCCGCCTTTGAGGAACCGTTTCTCAGAACTCGCTGACCAGATGTGCCGTTATCCCACCGGTACCAGGGAGTCACGGTCGCTTGGCCTTATGATTATGGGGCCGGAGACTTTGGGCAGATGGACCATGAAGTTTCGTGGTTTGTCAGAGGAGTTGAGTTTTGGAATGTAAAACTCGAGAAGGGAGGAACGTGGTCAGGATAGGCGGCATGATGCCGTTTGAATTACGAGGAAAGTATACGAAACAGAATGAGTGTACTTACTTGCCCTTTGTATAGAAAGGATTTAGGTTTGTGCTTCGTCGTTTTGCAAAACATTTGTGTGTGTGCCACAAGCTTACCATTGAAGGCGGGAAATACACATGTCAAGGAAACCAACGAAAACTTTAAACAAATCTGAAAAACCGCTTGGACCTTTGAACTGTTTACTGCGTCGGTCCGTTGTCTGGAGTTGGCGTTGGGTTGGTGGAGGTTCAAGGGTAACAGTGGGGTCTAGGGTCTGGTGTGGAAGATGCCGCTGATAATGAAGTTATCTTCGCGGCTGTACCATGTAAACTTATGGGCGGATCTTCGAAAAATACCACCTTAAGACGATAGATGGGTATCGTTGTTCGGTGACCCTTCTGGTCTAAGCTAAAATGCTTAGGAGTTCATTGGAGAACTCTAAAATCGCCGGTGTAGGGGGATGAAAGGGAGGACGCACGACATCTGTGCGGACGAAGACATGAGTGTATGTAGAGAGCCCAATGTGGATTTCTGGTCTGCTCACCTGAAGCGTTAGGGCGCAATGAATGCATGCGTTGAGAAAAGTAGGCTGCGCAGTTTGACGGTGGCATACGCGACGGCGAGGAGGCGAAATGAACTCTCCTGGCAGCTTAAGCGTTGTGTTATATACCAGCTCAGTTGGTGCGCATTGCAGGTCAGCTTTGATGCTGCTGCGAATATCTAGCAGTACTAAAGGAACATTTTCACTCCGGTCAGGGTCAGAAGTGGCACAGCAAGATGACTTGTGCTGTCGATGAAAGCTTTTGACTACGACATTCGCAGATATATGATATGCCGTCCTGTGGATACGGCGGTAGCCTCGAGTTCCAGAACGCATCGCGCTGCGAACATTCGAAAAACGTTTCATGGTCGTTAGTAATGGTGGGTGGGCATCAGTTTTGGGACACCCAACTGTCCAAAAATGCACGAATGACTGTTTCGGTGTTGCAGTCTTTTACAGGGATGGCTTCCGACCATCTGGTGAATCGATCAACACATATCAGTATGTATACGGACCCGCGAGATGGAGGTAAGATTCGTACCAAGTCTAAGTGTACATGAGAACCGCAAATCCGGCACAGGGAATGAGCAGAGAGGACTGCTGGTGCGTCGATGTACCTTGGAGCATGAACAGTGAAGACAAGCTCGAGCCCATCTACGAAAAGCTTTGTTTACGCTTGGCCAAACGTAACACTCGGTGACCAGTTTTAAAGGTGCTCGAATATCAGGATGAGTCAGTGAATGAAGGGAGTCGAATATTGTGCCTCTGCAAGAAGTGAGCACGATGGGTCTTAGACGATCTGTGGAAGTGTCAAAAAGGCTAGTTCCGTCTGTAGTTTCACATGCAGTGAAGTGGACTGTAGTGTACGTTGCAGGTCATGGTCATCGGCCTTAGCCGATGCCATGGCTACGAGATCGACAATAGGCAAAGCTTGAAGTGTACGGTTGACTCGAGAGAGAGCGTCTGCGACGGGGTTGGCGACACCCGAGACATGACGTGTGTCAGCAGTGAGCTGCGTGACACAGTCTAGGTGCCTAGTTTCCCGTGGTGGATATTTGTCAGCTGAGTTGAAGGCGAAGCTAAGAGGTTTTTGCTCATTTTAGATCGTGAGATCCCGGCCTTCTAATATGGTCGAAAGTGACGACTAACTAAGTAGACGGCAAGCATTGCTCAACCGAACGTGCTGTAACTGGATTCCGCTGGTTACAAGTGTTTAGAAAACAACCGAGTAGTTGCCACTGTCCACAAAAGTGTTGTTGGAGAACAGCTCCTACCGCAGCGTCTGAAACGTCAGTTGTCAGCGAAAGGGAAGAAGACCGTTCGGAGTGAGCGAGGAGAGCTATGTTGGAGGTAGCATCCTCGAGCGCGGCAAAAGCCGTGTACTGTGTCGGGGAACGCTAACTTACCTTCGTTTCCTCTAAAGAAGTCACTCAGGAGTGCATGAGTTGAGCACAGTGGAGGATGAAGCGTAAGTAGTAGTTGACTGGACCACAAACTCGACGTAGGCGCGTAAATGAAGTCGGGGCTTTTAGGTCTTTGTTGGATTGAACCTTGTCCGCAAAGACCTCGATGCCAGCTGAAAAGACGAGACGGTCTAGGAATTCTACCAAGGATGTGCCTGGGTCGCACGCAGCCAGATTGATTGTTACGTTGTGTTGAGACAACCTCTGGAAGAGGGACTGAAGATGAACTAGATGCTTTTCGTTGGACAAGTTGGCCCCTGGAATGCCATTGAGGTAGAGGTAGTCGAAATCTAGGCCACGGATGAAATCGTGAATGAAGCGTTGAAAAGTCTATGCGGCGTTGCACAATCTAAAAAGGAATTCCTAAAATTCGAGCAAGCCGAAACTGATAATGACGGCTGTTGTACATATGTCCTTTTCCTCAACAGGTATTTGGTGATAGACTTGAACCAGATCGATTATGCTGAATACCGTCTTACCTGTGAGGAATGCAGTGGAGTCCTGCATTTGTGGGATGGGATATCTGTCGGGGATCGGAAGTATTTATGGCTCCGTAGTCACCGCAGGGACGCCAGTTTTCAGATTTCTTTGAGATTATCTGAAGTGGAGAGGACCAAAGGCTATCGGAAGGGCGGATTATTCGAAGTTCGTGCAGATGTTCATATTCCGCCCTGGTTAGCTATAGTTTCTCCGGTGACAATCGGCGCGG